AACATTCAATCATATTGAAAAAACATGCAATCATTCATTCATAAAAGGCTCATGATCATCCCTAAATTAACTATTCTTCCCATGAATTCAACATATAAATTCACCAATTTAATATGTTGATGTAGTAATGACTTATATTAAGTCAAAACAGCTCTTTTCTGATAACTGATCAGTCACACGACTCGTGTTACAAGTCACACGACTCGTGTGACATTTCACACGACTCGTGTGGCTCACTCACATGACTCGTGTGACAAATACGAAAGTTACTATGAAAAATTTCATAAAAATTTTCTGTCACACGACTCATGTCACACCTCACACGACTCGTGTGAGGTGACACGACCGGTCACACGACCAGTCACACGAGTCGTGTCATCCTTCATGACTCGTTTTTTCGAATACTCTATTCGATTTTTATTCCAGTTCGAGTTTTTAACAATTTTTCAAATCAAAATCTGATTTTAAAGATGCAAATTGTAACATGGCTCTGATACCAGTGTTGGGTTCGATATACTGTATGGAACAGAGTTTGCAGCGGAATTTAAAATTTTATAAGTATTTATCTTATAAATACTTATTCCGTACATAAGTATAACGAGATAACAAATAAGCATCATTTAAAATCTAGTAAAATTTTACTAATTTTGATTTGATATGTAATTTATAAAATTACCTTTGTTCTTGAACTCCTTCAAAACCGACGATGTATGAGGAAATCAATTCCTGGTTTGGTAACAATCACTTCTTGTTGTTACTCACTTTAGGAATCCAAATATCTTCCCTCTAATCGTATCCACCTTTTGAACTTTGGTTCCGACTATAGTTTCTTCGCTAATAGAAACTACTCGGTTTTTCAAGAAGTATAGAATATATATATTTATAAGGAAATTTTACAAGAACTCTTTCTTGATTTATCACTCAACTCTTTGAATGTTTTTCTCTTGGAAGAATTTAGCCAAAAACTAAGCAATTAATGTGCAAACATTTTGCACCTATTTATACTAAATATTTTAGCATAAAATAATCAATATTTGATATATTTTATTTTAAATAAAATCAGATTTTATTTAAATAATCATACCAAATATTGAATTTTAATTAATAATGTGGAGTGGTTTATAACCACCATTATTGTATTAATAAAAAATAAGATTAATTATGTGGATTGGTTAACAACTCCAAACCATCATAATTAATTTGTTCTTATTAATATTTAATCTTCAATCATATTAAAGATAAATAATAAAATAATAATTC